TTCAACACTCCAGTCTAGTGTCTTTATGCAACCAGGTATAATATCAGACATGTTTTGCTACTCTGGTTTAAGTAAATGAATGTAATCCCTGAACAAATTACATTCACAATCCAACGTTTCAACACTCCAGTCTAGTGTCTTTATGCAACCAGGTATAATATCAGACATGTTTTGCTACTCTGGTTTAAGTAAATGAATGTAATCCCTGAACAAATTACATTCACAATCCAACGTTTCAACACTCCAGTCTAGTGTCTTTATGCAACCAGGTATAATATCAGACATGTTTTGCTACTCTGGTTTAAGTAAATGAATGTAATCCCTGAACAAATTACATTCACAATCCAACGTTTCAACACTCCAGTCTAGTGTCTTTATGCAACCAGGTATAATATCAGACATGTTTTGCTACTCTGGTTTAAGTAAATGAATGTAATCCCTGAACAAATTACATTCACAATCCAACGTTTCAACACTCCAGTCTAGTGTCTTTATGCAACCAGGTATAATATCAGACATGTTTTGCTACTCTGGTTTAAGTAAATGAATGTAATCCCTGAACAAATTACATTCACAATCCAACGTTTCAACACTCCAGTCTAGTGTCTTTATGCAACCAGGTATAATATCAGACATGTTTTGCTACTCTGGTTTAAGTAAATGAATGTAATCCCTGAACAAATAATACATTCAACGTTTCAACACTCCTATCTAATGTCTTCGTGCAACCAGGTATAATATTTTCCTAATCTGTTTATTTGAATAATATTGATGTTGGCTCAATAATTTTAGAAGAAAAAATAGTGTTTATAAGCATTTATAATTAGATCTCAATTCAGATTTTTCACCTCACCTCGTAAAACTTTTCATCAGCATTTCCAACAGTAAAAGCTGTATTTGTTATGCCTTTGACTGGGTTGTTTCCGTCGCGTTTCTTCTCGCCTAATAACAATATGGAGGGTAAATACGTGTATTTTCGTATTGCAAAATAAACTTATAGGAAATAGCTGTTTCCTTTATATCTTTTAAATTTAATCTCTTGCCTGATTTGTTCTTGTCTGGAACAGAACTTGGTTCATTTCTAAATAAAAATGAAATAAATTTGTTTAGCTCTGTAGAAAATGTAATGCTTTGCGGACATATTGATGATAATTTATAGTCAATAGAGAGCGGGGGCGGATTACAAAGACATCGTTTGTTTACATGATGTTGCATTAATATGCCAGTATTGGCTTATCCACCGTGGCCCTATACTGGTTTTCAAAAGTCTTTATTTCCTAGTAAACAATTATTCATGTCTACCTTTTCTTCTTTCTCAATCTGTTTTTAAAAAACAGACACGAGACAAGCAGTACCACACTTCCTATGACAGTTGCAGGAATAAGGAGTATTTGAGTAGCGTCCATTATTGTCATCTATTTGAGAAGAAAGAAAAGTATTGCATAAGAATTATTTAACTTTTTAATATCAAGTAGTATCATGCACGCGTATACAATTATCACATCTTGTCAACAAGATGCTTGATCTCACTCCTTACTGCTTTTGTTCCCAGTTGTTGAAAAGCTTGGAACAAGTTGTTATTATCTTGTATAACAAGGTTGATGAATCTAATATTGATCTGCACGCGTAACAAGTTGACGACAACATGCTCGTAACAAGTTTGTACGAACAGCCTGTGTTAGTCTTGTTGGTACAACATGTTGCGAGTCGTAGAGACGTTACCGTGTTCAACTTTGTAACAAAGTGGCGTCAACTTGTTCCAGAATTGTCACAACAGCTGGGAACAAACAGTGGGAATACATTATTTACACATTACTAATATACCTTCGTACTCACTTATATATATCCGTAATATACCTTCGTGAATCTACAGCACTGAGAGTGTTTCGCCTATATACATTCAATACGTTTTTCTAATCTTTATACTCTGAGGACAATTTGCATGGATTGTCTTTTATATATCAGGGTACTTAACTACAAATTAATGTCATATTGGTATTGTTTCCGGCCTCTACTTTCATTTGGTGAAGAAATATTTGAATTGTACTTTAATTTTACTGATTGTGAAACTGACCATTGCTTGATTCGAAATTTCATGTGGTTATAGTAACAAAACATAATCCGAAGATTAGCATCTTGAAACCCAAAATATGAGTCAAACAAGAAAGTGAGTGAGTAATATTTCGGTTTTATTACAAAATCATCATCAGACTAACTAAAGTTACAATATATACATGGTCTAATATACAAGTTGGCAAGGCATGATGACATAACGGAAGTCTCAATCAGAACCACGACAGGTGCAGTGAGATGTAAGTGTGATGAAGTGTGGGTGTATAGATTAAGAAAAAAGCTTAAGTTCTTAGCTGGCTTTGAGTCCATGCAGTGTTTAAACAATTATTAAGTTGGAAATAAAAGTGGAAACGTTATTGTCAGCGTCAGTTGGGTTGTTAAGTTTGTCAAAAGCAAAGTGTAGGTTTACAATGTATTGCGCATGTTCGCAGTTGTGAAAATTGTCATTGAGCACTTTTGGTCGGATATTGGTATGAAATTGATATGGTTGAAATTGTCGGCTGGTATTGGGGTTTTTTTCATGTGGTTAGTTTCTGAGTGTTCATGTGGTAAGTTTGTGGTTGGACTCAAGACCAGAGTTCTTTCCGGAAGGGTGTATGGGTGGCAACGAACATGATGACCTTAATTAGTTGATAACGTCTATATTGGGTCAAAAGTCTGACAAAAAAGTGCAGTTATGTGGTGGAAATCGTTGATAAATCTTCGAATAAGACAAATAATCAACTAAAATTTTAAAAATACAAACGAAACACAAACTGTTATGAAAATCGTGAAACACAGGCAGGTTTATTAAATTCATGACTCTGAGATAACGTTATGACAGTATATATGCCTTATGCTTATATGATACATGGCTAATTTTATGATTACTCAAGCCTAAAATATCTACAAGTATTTCCTTCGTGTGGTCGTCTCTGGCACGAAATGGGTCACGCAAAGTGATGCTCACTCGTCATGGGGGTGACGCAGGAACCGAAAGTCCGAATATAGTTTGTCTACTTCAAGTTTGCTTTTTAGTATTTTTGTTATCCGAAGATGGAGTCGTCCCTTCCTATATATGAACATGATTTGTAATTGGTTGATTATGAAAATAGAAGACAATAAACGTTTCAGGTCATTTTTCTGGAGAACAAGTCATAAACACTGATTACTTTTGTTTCAGAAAACCATTAACAAATCCTGTTCGCATATTCTCGTGAGCATCTTCCTGATATAGTTGCCCCCACTTCACATAGTTTTGGATAACTGCATGGCATGCATAGTTACCAAGTGTTGTGATGCTATGGTCGTAGTTATAGAATGCTACACAGCCAAAGGTAACCATGCAACCATCTATTTAGATGCGTGATAATTTAGATGCGTGAAATGTAATATATTGTTAGGAATATTTCTATACAAGTAGAAAATAGCTGCTGAAATGCTCAGTTGACTCACTTATGGAACATAAAACAACCGATATAAAATTAAAAGTTTGTAAAATGCTGCTCACTTATTTTATATTTAACATTCTCCTTACTTGTGTTGATACATTCTAGCATAGGTTTTTACCTGAAACTGCAGATTATAGTAGTTGATCAGTTAAACAATCCACATTCTTGAGTAACTGTAGACGCAATTCAATAACCAATAACATTCAGCATATTCTCTCGTGCTAATAATGCCACTAAACACTTCACGTCCTTCGACAAAGACTATAATATCTCGTTTAATCATTCGAAACTATTTTTATGCAGGATATATGCAATTTTGAAATCATTTGCACACCCCTTCATTTCCCCTGACGTTGTAGATCAACAGAGCATGTCGAATGACGAGCTAGGTTGCAGCAATCATAATTAAGAATCTTTGATCAGCAAAGTTCAGTACTTGACTGTATCATATGGAGTTCTTATCATATGGAGTTTTTATCATATCGAATTCTTATCATATGGAGTTCTGAAATTCTCTTCTCAAATGCATCATTATCTTTAACAATACTTGCTCTATTAAGATATCCAGGTAATTTTGTCTGATATATTTTTAGTCAAACATTAATATTCATATAAAGTCTTTGTTTTATGTAAACTCGTTTGGCATACTTCACTTTGGGCGGAGCAGTTTGGCTGCACCTTCATCCACTCTTTGGTATAATTGTTATGTTTTTGTAGCAAACCAGAATTCTTTTCATACATATATACATATATATATGCTGGTTAAAATCTGCGGCGCTATGACCATATCAGGAATTCTACTCTCGCGTGGTATAGTGAATTGACCGGAAGTTCAGAGTGGATGTAATCTCTGACGTCATAACTCTCTCATGGTTCTTGTCGGTTTGAATGGCGATAATATTATACATGTTTTTGCTGTACGTGGAAAATGCCACGTATATTTATCATTTCAAAGCTTTCGATCCACATGCTCGGATCAGCGCCGATAAAACAGTCTTTCATATAGTTTTCATCTTTCTCTATAACGATTAGCGGTGTAGCTTTGATGTGAACAAAGATGTCTGGTAGTCCGAATGAGGCTTTAATATCAAAGAAATTTTGTCTATGCCTGATATTTATTTCAGATATTGTGTTTATTTGTGATAGAGTAGATATCAGAGTTTTGGGCATTCAGTCGATAAAACTCGATAGAAGGATTTCGTTGTTGGAAATTTTAAGTGTGAATTTTATATATTTCTTAGATCTAACCATGCAGGAGCTGTTGCGAAATATGCAGCTATATAGGTTTCTGGCAGGAATCGAAACTGCGCTTCTGCGATTCCGGTGCAGCGCTCTTATTTGTAATATCTCTATATATCAACTCTGAACTGTTCTCCCAAGAGGTCCAAAAAGGGTCATAACCAGTCATTCATAATAAAACTAAACATTTCAGTTCCGATTCTGTTCTTCATATAGACGTTCAGTCAAGGTCATGCCTTGTTGGTCCACTACAGGAAGGATTTGGTAACCTTCATGGTAGGCCAAACCGAACACAATGTTTATACGAGCCTGAGGCGAAATTATAACCATGCCATGACTTATACTCTGAGCAGTAAGCCCTGTAAACTGTAGGGATCACCTATTATTTATGGTTAAGTTTTGTAAATATATATAAAAAAAATTTAAATATTTTTTGCTGCAACTTGCAATGCAATTTCATGCAGATACTGAATCATGTAAAAGTTAGTCACATGTGAGCACGGTTCATATTCTACTCTGCCAGCATTTCTTCACTGAAAGCAATGGCCCTAAACTGCCTTGTGTAACATTGGCCAATTAGTCTTGGGAAATACGCATACCATTTTAATTTATATAGTTTTACTAGTCATATATTTTACCTTTTGGCTTCTCGATCCTTTCCACTTTTATTGAGACAATGATTTAATATATGGTATATAGCGTAGCCGCAGTTTGTTGATTCTTGACCACGATCTTGAAATTCTGTAGGTTTAACGTAAGATGACTTCGGATTCTCTATATATTTCGGTTGTACAGTATATATACACTATATATATATACCACGAGGTGTTGAAATTCTGTAGTATTAATTATTAAAGATAATATTGCCTCTTAGTTTAGTCTTTTTGAAGTTGTCATGAAATATTTCTCAACATGTGTTGTCGTGCTTATATATGCCAGACATCCCACGACAGCCCACATAAATTGAAAACGTAAATAAGAATTAAGTCCGACCCACGCAACGCTGCAGAAAACACTCTCATAATACGTCGACAGCGTAGGTGAACAGATTTCTGAACAATTTCAGGTATTCATTGTCACTTTAAAATATAATTACAATTCAACAAAGTATAATTTTTTTATAAGAAGCAAATATATTTTAATGATTTAATAAGGATAGGTTTTATTTGTGACGTAAAAAGAAAAAAAAAAAAAATAAAGACATTCAGTTTGGCAGCATTCGTGGACCAAAATTTACACGTACACGCATGCAACTATACATGATTTTGTGAAAGGCTGATCTATTTTTTAGCCGTAATGACGAGTCCATGTCTACGAGATCACTGACTTTATTTTTTTTCTTCGCTTCGCAAAAAACTTCGCCCACATGTATGCACTCTGTCACACAAAATGGCGCCAGATGACAAATTAAGGAATTAACTATTTGAGTCGTTTATTTTGAGACATTATGATTCAACTTCAATTTTATCTCCACAATAAAATACATGTATGTCACATGACATTGCCTCCGTTGCATTTCACCCACTAATCTAACTTGCACCAGTAGAATATTAAAGTGACAATACATGCATCAGTATGGGGGGTTTTGATATCAACGGAATGTGTAGTTTAGCATAATTTTCTTGCTCTATATTTATCATTTGTCAGAACGGCTAGCAGCTGGTGTGAACAGTTGTAACGGATGTGATGGCAATACTATGGCGTCAGTTCAAGCAAGACTCTTACTCTATGTCGGTCCGTCAAAAGCAGCCATCCGCTTTTATTATTTATTATTGAGAGTTCTTAACGGCGCGAGAAAATTGTTGTCAATTGTCATAGCAGGATCTTCTCAGTATATAGTTCTATGTACAGCATGGAATTTCTATTGATCGTGCAAATCTTTCATGATGTGAGGCGTTACGTTCTCTGATGAATGTTCTACGCATGCGTATTCAAGGTTTAGGCTTCACCGTAGGCTTTGGACTTGGAGATGGTTTAGGACTTGGTTTAGGAGTCGATGTTTTCTGATGAATTTCGTCCTAAAGTATATGAATGGATAATATGAGTAAACAATAACATATTTCAAATTTTTCTGTCCTATTTTATCCGCCGACGCGTTTCTCGATGGTCGTGGGCGCAATACGTACGAACAAGCCCAGAGTTTGTCGGTATCGATACAAAACGGACGTGCATGTTGCAAATAGAGACCTTACGATTTTAGCAGGGACGCGGAACGATGTGAAGGCAAGGGGGGGGGGGCAGATTTTCGTGAAAGGGCACTTTTGAATTGATATTTTCTAAGAGATGTTTGCAAAACATCGGGAGTTGAACTTCGCCTAATCATATTTTCTATTTATTGGATGATAGGGGTGTGAGGGGGTTCTCCGCCAGGCGATTGTATTATTCTAGATGACTTTTATTGCGTTTTCTGAAGCAAATTCGTAAAAGAATTGCACCAACATTTCTGACAATTCGCTATTTCGCCAAGGCAATCTTTTAAATTGAAAGGGCACCTTTGCCCCTCCCCCCTCCTGGTAAAGGGCAACAGGGGCGGCTGCCCCTCCTGCCCCCCAGTTCCGGCGTCCCTGGATTTTAGAACGGCAACGCGACGGCAACGGATACTTACCAATACAATAGATCATTGAAAAGAATTGAGTAATTACAATATATGAATAATTTAGACATTGTCCTCGCTCTGTTTACAACGGACAAATCACAGATTTTCACGTCTTGATACAACGGCTACATTCCAAGCCACAACAAGTGCAACTTCAAACTGGGTGTAGCAGAACTCTTCTCAACCATAAAACCCATGTTTTCAACTTCTAAAACTGCATTAAATTTATACGATTGATAATATACCACGAACTATCTTTACTACCATTTATTTGAAGGAGTTTGTTTTGGCCTTCGCCGTCGCGTTGCCGTCCTAAAATCGTAAGGTCTCTAATAGCACTACGGAGAAACGTCTTGATTTATGTAAATGAGCTAGCATGATTTTGTATCAGATATACAAACTCCTTCACGCTCATGATGTCTTTTGTGTTTTCTTCATAAATTATTACAGGTAAACTACGTGAAGCGTTCCTCTTTTGTGTTCCTAACTCATTTGGAATTTTCAAAATTAGATTTGCAAATTTGAAAAACTCTTCGCAAATCCCTTGAGGGAATTTGCAATTTTCCTGTCGGCCGTTGCAATATTCCAACGCAAAGAAAGTTCCTTTCAAATTTTCCTAACTTCCTGTTTTAATTTCCTAACTTCCTGTTCTGTTCTGAGCGTTATCATTGGTGGATTATTTTTGTTAGCCAATTGCAACGCACAGAACAGGAAGTTAGGAACTTGTAACAGGAAGTTAAGAACTTCTAACAGGAACTGAGGAAAATTTATTTTGCTCTTAAGAACATTTTCAGGGATTTGCAAGGAGTTTTTCAAATTTGCTAAGGTAATGACGAAAATTGCAATCAACTTAGGAACTCAAAAGAGGAACGCTTCACGTAGTTTACCTGTAATAAGTTTCACAAGCAAATTTAAATGTTGGCTTACCGGCACAGGTATCCCGTGCAATGGTTCCAGATACGTCTCTTCTGGTTCAGGACTGTCATTCCTTGAGTGTTGAAGGAATCGTTTTGAAGCTCTTAGCTCATCTATCGGTTGCAAGTATGTTCTGTCATCTCCTTCTTTCGCTACTGGTGAAGCCGACGGCGGAGGCACACCTTCTACTGGGCTCAGATATCGTTGATAGATGATATGTTGGTTATCCTTGGAGATATTCCCTGGTTCGTCAGATGATACTGCTATTTCAGGACTCGGACTTGATCTCGCGGAGTCTGAGTTCGGGTTATTTTGCTTTTCAGGTAAACCTGAATACCGGCTGGTATTGAGGTTGCTTACAGCGTACAGCGGACCATCTGGGAATGTAAAGAACATTTAATTCATGTGCTTAAAATATGGCTGAGCTGGATGGAAAGTTTTACGCAAACGTAACGTGGTTGTCTACAAGGTTAGAGGCATCATCACCATCATCATTTTGAAGTTTTCCTTGTATTTTTCAAGGTAGTGGAATGTACAGTTCTCTAATGTCATATTTCTATATAACCATGGTTACGTTCTCGGAAAGTAGGGCATCATAACCACGCCCATGGTTCCAAAACCATGCTTATGTATGTCATATATTTTGTATGATATCTTAGATAATAATTTCTATAACCATGATTACGACCAAGTTGAATATTAGATGACGAGGTGAATATTTTTTATCGGGTTTTGAAAAATGTTAAACATTCCTTTTCATTTTATTTACAAGAGTGAAATCCATTTTACAACATATTATGCCGTTGCACAATCTCGTTCCCAGAGTATGCCTGTTCTGTACAGGCTCTGGGAACGAGGTTGGCAGTTGCACTGAATTACCTGAGATAAAAACTCTTTTAATAGAATTTCGCAAGTTCACTCGGCCTCGTTTTCGATCTTTGCCAGCATCTTTTCTCGCATCAGTTACTGTCGCGGTTCTGTGGGAAATATCGAAAACTCATTCACCTGCATGGCTAATATAAAATACGTATTCTATTGATTGAAAACATCAAGTGTTTGGGAGTAGTGCTAATATATATATATACTATAGTTAAAGGGCGCGTTAGGTAGACTACTATGGCTAGTTATCCTATACCTAGTTATCCTATACCTAGTTGTCCTATACCTAGTCATCCTATACCTAGTTATCCTATACCTAGTCATCCTATACCTAGTTATCCTATACCTAGTTATCCTATACCTAGTTATCCTATACCTAGTTATCCTATACCTAGTTATCCTATACCTAGTTATCCTATACCGGCCGTCATGCGTGATGAATGGACTTAGGCCGAAGTTTCGATTCCTGCCAGAGGCCTATAGTTACTCAGCTACTGATCAGGTCGAAATGAATGTACTATTATTAATAGAATTTTCCTCAAACCTTCTGCGTCTTCTAACTCTCCAGCATACTATCACCATAAATATTGAAATAATCATCAACAACGCCAGGACGACACACGCTATGAATACCCACGTGAATAACATATCAAAATCCCCGGATGATGAGTTGGGCGAATTGCCTTTAACAACGATCGCTGCTGACGATGAAGCAATAACAGTAATAACACTGCTCGTAGTATTTATGACGTGAGATGTTCTGTTTGTTGTATTGAATATGTTGTAGGTTACAGTTGTCGTGTTGATTGGAATGGTGTACGATGGTAGGATTGTGCTATAACCTTCCATGATGTTCCTAAAGTGACGTGAAGGAAAATAATATGAATTAATTTAGTGTACGTGAATGAGATGAATGGGCTACGAGGAAGTAGTCAACCTCCGCCTCTGAGATAGATGTGATAGAATTATACGCACTGCTTGCAGAATTTACAGTAAAAATTTTGATTGGATTATAAAGTAATGGGGATAATATCGGCGATATTTCATAGACAAATTGGCTGTCTCAAATTGTGAATGTTATACTTGCACTATAGAATCGAACAGACTGAGGCAAGTCTGATAAGATAATTCATCAGCAAAATGTCAAAAACGGAAATCTTAATTCACCAAACAAATGACAAATCGTTGTCTTGGTACCACGACAAACGTCCATAAAAAATGACAGAGTAAGAGACCACTCTGTTCGCGAAACATATCATAATCTCAATAAGTTGTAACTCGTCTGCTATTGAAAACAGTTTTGTATTATTTTGCTCATATCTTCACTTTACTGAAAATCACTCTGAGTCTATCTTATATATAATACGAGTTGAATTTTCGTTATATATTACCACAGTTAACAGATATTACACACACGGTTTAGTATAGCAATTGATATAATAGAGAGGGCCATATAGGAGTCTGTACTGAGCCTGCAAAATCCCGCCATCCCGTGATCCCGACCGATTTTCACTTCAAATCCCGTCACCAAACCACGATGTAATTTGTGTACAACACTTTCAGAATCAAATTTAACTTTTGTGTGTGTACTTTTGTAATCGACACACCAAATTAAAAAACTCAAAGGATTGAAGTTATATTGCACTGGCAGCAGCCAAACACTTGTCTTTTTATCTGAGAGAATTTTACACAATTTCCTCATTCACTCTTTGTTGACATGAAATTTTTTGTCCAGACATGTTCTCGCTTTCGAAAAATCACTGATTTGCGAGTATGAAACTGTAGCAGAAACCAATAGCCGTGGGATATAAATTTCGGCAATCGTTTATATTAATATCGCAGTCAGTTTAATTGCTTTATTGGATTGCGTTTATTTTGCGACAATATCGACCGGAAAGGCGGAAACCAAATCTATACAAAATAATACTACCAAGACACGAAATAAACGTCTACAAACACAGACACACAATTTGGCACGAAAGAAGTTAGTTTCTCGTTTGAATTATCTTTGTTAGTGAAAGTAACACGCGTACGTAACAAAAATTGACGAGATTGCATGCTAAGTACAGCTTGTGCGAGCTGCCTATATATTCCATATTTTGCGACTTTAGTATATAATTATATATTTACGTGAATTTTTGTATTGCCTCACCTTTTCTGCGAGAAAATCGTATAATTTCATCTTATATCAGATTAAAATATTTCGAATGTTAAACTGTATCCTTGCTGAGAAATGATACAATATGTAACTAGTGATGCTCACTGAAATATTATGCCGCCTGTGAAATACTAATGTACTTACCATTTACAGTATATACTTTAATATCTCGTGCTCTCTTTCGAAATAGCAAAGAAAAACAAACAGTCCCAACTCAATTCAAAAACGTCGCATATTTCGCCAATAAATCCCGTAGTTGAAATTTGAAAAATACAGTATTCGTTTGTTGCAGTGTAACAGATCTAAAGCTGTATTAAAATTTAGTCGATGTGTCGTCGTTGTTGTTGGATTGTCTTGGAGAGGTTTGCTAATATCTCTTTGACTGTTTTTCAAGTGCGGATGTGCATGTAAGGGAATCGCCAACGCAATATTGGCACAGTATGTTGCTTTCAAACAAATATGGCAACTTTCGATTTCGTACTATTTCCTCAAATATAAAGGATTTGAGAAAATACGTTGTGCAACAAAGTACATATTTTTCTTGGAAATTTAGGCAATAGCAGGTTTCGTTTAAGGATCGTAATTTTGCAGACGAGGTAGAATTATACGAGCTTGTAATATTAAAGACTAGATATTGATATTAAACCAACACTGATAAGGAAAACACTTGCATGCATGCAGTCCTTGTATTTTCGTTTAATTTTATTTCTATTGGTTAATTTTGTTTCTAATTTAAATCTATTTCGGTCTTGGTACTATTTCCCATGCCATGGCAAATGAACAGATCACTTGTTTGCCAGTGCCGAAAAGGACTGGGGCTTACCTGGTAATTTGCCTGGAGGGGGATAAACCTCACTAATAACTTTTATATCGGTTCATTCAGAGCATCATGTACTAGTTGAGTCGGTTTTCTTTGATGCACAGTAGGATGGATAGAGGTTGTTATAACCCGTGAATAGATAATTAGATTAAACTTGTCGACAAAACTCTCCAAACTGATCTTGAATACTTGATCGAAAGTCTTTGAAATTTATGAAACCTTGTTGGAAACGTCCTCAACTAGTAAATAAGTTGGTTATAAACCTCGAATGTGGGATATATGCCATGACACTTTTTGGCCTAAGGGCTAAGGCTCCTTGCATGGATATTGATATCCCGCATTCTCGGTTTAGCTCGACGAACTCGATAAATTTAATTTCATGTAATCTGGTTAAACACTGAGTAAAATGACGTAAACAGACCTTGATGATCCTCTTTAAGATGGCTCCAGTTCAATTTCAGACTGAATATCATTTGAAAAGAAGCCAAAACCTTCCAAATTAGGTCAAACTACCTACTCAAGAGGCTTCAGGCAGTATCTTAGCCAGGTTTTTCCCGAATAATACAATACGCTGAAAACTTTATTGACGGACTCGAATTTAAAAGTAAGAACATGAAACTATACTACTTTGTTGTAAGTTTTCTTTCTGTTGGAAAAATGTCAACATCAAAGGTACAAATGCAGTTGTGAATGCTGCCTTATTATTGCTCAATAACGTTTGTTTATCAGAAATGCAATTGGCTGAATTTCGTGTAGTGTGATTGGCTAGAATATCGTCTAACCGATCACAGTTAATTTCGTAAATTTGGATAAAATTGAGGAAAAGTTCTTTTCAATTCCTAAGGGCTACGTGACCAAAAAGGAGGCAAAATGCCAAACATATTCAAGTTGAATCAAAAATTAGTTATTTCTCCGTACTTTTGAACAAAAAGAAAGCTGTCCCACAATCATTCGACAGCACCAAACATAATATTCAAACAGATCAATTAAGACCAATGTTGTATTCAACAAGACTATTGCCGCGCATGCGTCTTGGAAATGGAGCAAATTTGGCAAGCTTTTCCCACGTTATGGGACCAAGCCTTGTCGGCCATTTTAGGGTGCAAACGGAAGGTGGGAATTTGACCGCATTAAGCCCGTTTTCCACTCACGTATTTCGCCGCGGCTGGCGAAAAATTTCGGCACCGGAAAAGTTCATTTGTTGTTCTTTCGCGCCGTCAACGAAAGGTCAAACAGAAGTTGAAAATTTTAAGCAACTGTAGCAGGAGAACAAATTTCTTCAGCGGCGAATGAATGAAAAAAATTATTTCTTTGTCAAAATTTTTCGCCAACGGCGGCGAAATACGCGAGTGGAAAACGGGCTTAAAGGCTGATTTCCACTGTTGCGTTTTTCATACGTACGTACACGCACGTAAAACTTTAAATCCGTTTAAATGTTACTTATGAAATAACCAAATAAATAAAGCAACAGAATTTAGTGTTCCGCAAGTTTTAGTATGCATTTGTTAACTTATTTGTAAAATATTTAAAAAATAGGATTCAAAGTTTTGCGTGCGTGCACGAGCGTACGAAAAACGCAAAAGCCCACGTGGGTTGCGATCCCAAAATGGCGGACAAAGCCTGGTCGAATGGCTGGCAGAATAAGGTCAGTCAACAAAACGTTGTAGTCATAGGCAATCAATGCCTCCTATATCCGTTCATATATTCATCATTCCTTAGTCTGCCATTCGGGGTTCATTCATTGCACGATAATGCTCGAACTCCAAGGCTCTCGTCACTTCAAAACCAAGCTAGGTTCCGATCAGATAAGAACAAGTGTATCAAAATTTAACTACATTTATATTACGATTTTACAAACACACGATTTTACAAACATACACAAACCTTACAGAAAACACAGACAAGACAACAAACATACATTTAAACGAAAACACACTAGCTAAACTGCCTAAAATCCAGTCAAAAATACACAAGAAACATGACGCTAATAAACACTAACACATCTACAAACATAAACAACAGTGCTTCCACTTGCAAAAATTGCAAGATCCTTTTGTCCTGATTTTGACCGAAAATTCCTTCAAAATTATTGAAATTTCTTTCAAATCTTCATTACAAAGATTCTAATCAAATGTATTTTAATAAATATCTTAGGTGTTACTACTTATAGGTTTTGATGTCGTTTTGAATATATTTTTATATTTCCATTCGGGAAATTCTGAAATTAAACATCAAAAACTTTATTCTCTTCAAATTTCCTTTCGTTAGAAAGTTTTCCGTAATTTTACTTGGCGGTAATTTGTCGGTTGTAATTTATCACACTTTTATTTGCTCTGACGAACATTTTCTGTTTTAATTTTAATTTTAAACACATGCAAAGGTTTAAAAATTATTTAAATATTATTTCAGAGCATTAATCTTTATACAAAAAGTGCTAAAATTATAAAATTTTAGGTTTGAAATGAGCGACGATTTTCCGCCAAAACGTGAAACTAAACGACAAAATACCGCAAAATCAACAGCTCCAAAACAAGATGGCGGACGACAGTGTTGGAAATGAAAAAACTTTTTGCACGTTTTTTAAAAAGGCAAAACGAAAAGGAAACGTTCGGAAACGGAAAGCAGAAAGTTCGGGAAGCGAGGACGAAACGTCTGTTGTGAGATTAGAAAAGAAAGCCGCCCCAAACCCTTTAAAACAAAAAACTGGCAATGCTGTTAGATCTTGGGAGGTTCATGAAGAGAGCTCGAAACAGAATTCAGATAAACAAGGTTAAAATGACTTTTAATTTGCCAAATTATAATAAATATATAGAAAAAATGGTAAAATATGGTTGTACCCAAACATGAACTTAGCAAAAGGAATCCGCTAGAAATTGGCCTTGGCTGTGGTTGACCAGTCTATACCCCCAATGGGCCATTGCATTTTTAAACCAACCCCCCCCCCCCTATTGAGGACATCCATTTTTTGGTCCCCCCTCCCCTGGAATTTCCACATTTTTTAAGCGAATTTTTTGCCTCCCCCGTGGAATTTCCGCAGATTTTTATTGAATTTTAGCCATCCCCATGGAATTTCCGCAAATTTTTTATGAACTTTTAACCCATCCCATGGAAATTCCTTGACAGTTTTTGATCTAGCCAGTGGAAATTCCATATTGATTCTTTGATTAGTAGCTATCCCTTGGAAAATTCCTTGCTGATTTTGATCCTATCCTTTGGAATTTCTTTTCCATTGTTGGCCCTCCCATGGAAATTCCATACGTTTTACTCATTTTTCTTACCTACCCTTTGGAATTTCTGCAGATTTGCTTTAAAATTTGGAACCTCCCATGGAAATTCCTTCATTTTTGGTTCACTTTTGCAGGGGGTCATTGGAAATTCCACATGTCCTCAATAGGGTGCAGATAAAAAATGCAATGGCCCAATACACTGAATTGACTGAAATTATATGCTGTCTTGTTTAGTTATTTCATATACGCAAAGGGCCAAAGGCCGTCGGGTTTTAAAGCAATTATAAAATCAATATTTAACACAAACTTACATTCGTTAACGTCGGCTCCCTTCTTTTAGCCGATTCTTTCGCCGTTTCTATCTTGAAATTTACAAAATCTTGCAAAAATGCGAGTAAAATTGAAGTATATTTGCAAGAAATTTATCAATCATCAAATCTGTGATCAAATCAAGAAATGTTTGCTATTTCGCTGTCGTCATACAGTCGTTATGATGCAAACTTTAAATTGGACCAATCAGTGTCCGCTATTCATGACAGTCCGCCATATTTTTGAGATCAGTGAGGATGACCACCCACTCAACACCGTTGGTCACCCACGCCCGCGATACTTGACGAACTTTAGACTCCGCTAATGCTTTCGTTTCCCCGGGTGTAAATAGCTGGGGGGGGGGGAATTAGTACCCTCGCACGGCGCTTCGCGCCGTCGGCTCGGGGATGATATTAGAAGTCAATTGCAATGGAAAACACTTTCCGAAATAAGGAATAGTCATAAACTCATAATGATGTATAAAATATTAAATAATATGGCTCCTGTTTACTTACGTGACCATTTTAAAATGTCTTTCACGGACCAAGCTTATTCTCTTAGAAATAGAAAACTATGTCTAATTTTGCCAAGAGCACAAACAGAATTCCTAAAGAAAAGTTTTGCCTTTTCTGGAGCAAAAGTTTGGAACGAACTACCAGAAGAAGTAAAATGTAGCAATAGTTTACAAATCTTTAAAAAAATGTATCTCATCTCATGCCTAAAATTGTACATAGCTATGTTTAATATAATGTCGGCCCTCTTGTAAAGCAGTGGTATCACTGAAGAGTTCACCGAATTTAAATAAAGATCTCTGTGTGTGTGTGTGTGTGTGTGTGTGTGTGTGTGTGTGTGTGTGTGTGTGTGCGTGTGTGTGTGTGTGTGTG